AAAATGCGCATGCCCATTCAAGTATTTCAATGAGCAGCATTATTATTAAACTGGATTCACACGTAGTGTAGAATTGTAATCTTATTATTATCACTGGCCGTAGTGAGACCATAAACTTGAATAATTTCTCGAAATTTTGTTCGGCGAATACACCCATTCACGATGAGTGGAGGTGTCAGAAGATAATTTAAGAAGATCTTTGCCTACTGGGGATAAGCATACTCCATCTACACTCATTTTTCCTTCTCTCGTGCCAAGCAGCATCGTTTTACGACTCTTCCAATTACGATCTGCTTATTGCTAAGTCATGTTTCGCGCACATCGAAGGTATCGTATGATGTCCTGTCAATTTCCTGGAGAAGATGGTTTGTGAGTTAATAGATGGTCTACACTGCAGATTCTTATCGGAAGGGCCAGTCCATTTCGTGGTGGGCACCTGGGATTCCTTACAGTCTTTCCTTTTGGCCCTCCGGTTGCCCATCAATTGCACAGACCGCACCAAAGAGTGCATAGGGAAGTGAGACCCATTTAAAATCATTCATCTCAGACTGAATCGTCCTGCATATATTTGCGTTTTACGCATAGCTGGATGACGTTAGTTCGTTCATCTACCAAACAAAATGAATCTTGCACCTTTTCATCATGGTTGGAGCTGCCAGTTTGTGCCTGGACGTCGGTTCGTCTGTCGCCAAGTGCCCAGTGCACTGAACTGTTTGAGTCGGGGTTTTGTGGAAGGTGTGCCCACCAACATTTTTAAAAGGAATAAATTAACTGGTTCTGTTTTCACATTGATTTACGCGATTTTTTTTTAGGTAACATAAGAGCGTCGAAGCTGAAGAGAGCTGATGATGCAGGGGACGCAACTGCTGAAGTGCCTTTGCATGATTCACTCTTCCGGACAATACGAGATTTGCATATGAAGGATGTTGGCAAACAGATAGGAGAAAAACTTGGCGAGCTCCGTGATGAGCGCATGGTCTCTCTTTTCATAAATAAAATTCATTTTGAAGATGAAGAATCAATGTTGTCTACTTATTGTCTTTAAAATAAAGATTGAATTGATTCATTTTTTTTATCATTTTGCTAGTGCCTTTTTAGAATTTGAAAAAAAATCGACCGTCTGATTCGCTGGC